TTCCAACCATAATGATTCTATGATTATCACCCGTATTAAATAAATATTCTACTAGTCAAGGCCTTTGGATAAACTTATCTATCCAAAGCTTCAATCGCTCATGTAAAATCCAGACTTATTTACCTTATAGCTGGCAAATCAGTATTATTAGACAAGAGTTTTAGAAAGGTGCTTCTGTCATTTGAAAACTTTCTCATGTTCTTTCTACTAGTTTCTGAAATTCTTTTCTTGCTTCTTTCTTCCTTTTTCCTGCCAGGGATCATCATCTTTTTGAGATATTTTCTGAGTCTTTTAATATTATTCTTTAATGACTTTTGGGTTTTCTTTCTTCTCATTGTAAGCAACAAACCTTAGATTGGAAGTTAAACATTTATTTGAATTTTTATAGACTCCTATGCTCTCTGGTTAGTTACTTTTCCTTCAGAACGGTGGCAATATGGAAGCCTGATAACTTCTAACAGCAATTTTGACCTTTCTTAAATGAGGGATTGACATGTTTCTTTTTTTGTGAAGACAAGCCATTTTCTGAACTGTATTTTAAAAAAAAAAAGTTAAACTGTATTTACTGTCAAAAATTTTGGCTTACAACAGGAAAATTGTTAGGCCCTTTTAAAAAATCTTAAACTTTTCTTTTCCTACAGCCACCTGGAAGAAAAAACACAGTGGGAACACCCGAAGTCTGGGAAGAGGAAACGTGTAGCAGGAGGTCTGTGTTAAGCTTTTGTAATGAACTGAAATTGTTAAAACATCAGTTGGAGTTTGTGCAGGAACTAGATCTCATTTTGATCTTCTAGTTGACACTAGTCACCTAGACAAAATGAGCTTGCAAAATACATCTGATTTCAGTGGAGTTTTACCTAGGTGATTGTGTCTGTTAGAGTGGTCATTTTGCAGTTTTATGGCTTGCTTGTGTTGCCCCGTAAAGGCAAAGTACTGATTCTAGGATAAAGGGATTGTTTTACTGTGGCTTGTAAAGCATATAATTAAAGACTGGAATTCTCTGATTGGGTTCTGATATCCTGGTGTCCATCAGATAATATTTATAGTTGGATTATATTCTTCAAAGAATGTATTTCATCAAAGTATATCCCTGGCACAGAAGGAAGTCCCATTAGTTTTACTTCTACGTGTTTTCCCTAACCCTATTGAACATTTGTGCCAGAACAGGAGACAGCTGATGTTGCAGGACACTTCCAAAGGTATATGGCTTCTTGGATATGTGCCTTAAATTAGATCTTCCCAGAAGCTTCTATGGGGTGTACCTGGGGGTACTATACTGTTGACAAGCCATATTTCTTTTCGCATTGGTAATGTGACTATAACTGGAATGTTTTCAGTAGATTTTGAGCTCATTGAATTATAAATGAATACTTTTCAGCCAGTATTAGAAATACTGGGAATGCTGTCTGTTAAGTACTTCTGTAGGGTCTTTTATATAAGAATTTATTTTGTAAAGATTTGTCATTGTTGTTCTTTTATCTGTCCTTCCAACTTCATAGAATCATTTAGGTTTGATTTAACGTATTCCATACCCACTTGAGGGTTCTGATCTTCCAACTTTTGGTATGTGTTCCATGTAACTTTTCCTACATTTAGTTCAATGTTTTTGCTATTTACTTTATCAGGGATGGATACTACACTGTGTCCAGTATAGATGTGTATGTAATAGGAAGCATGTTTGCATTTTGTTTGTTTTTGCTATAACATGAAATAATCTTTATAAAGAATTTTTAGATTATACTTAATATACTAGTCATTACAGTTGTACCAGATCTCCTGTATATTGTACTTTTATTAGAGAGCTTTTGTGTGTGAGTAGGGAAGCAATCCTTCTTTCAAGTTCCAATATTCAAGTGCAGCAGGTAGCTGCATTACCTGCAGAAATAATGCAGAATTTTGCCACATGTGTCTGAGAAATCACTTCAACTTCAAATCTGAGTGTACTCTAATGCCTGAAAAAAGATAATGTTTTATGTGTTTCCTAGGTCTGCCGTATGGATGGGAGCAGGAGACTGATGAAAATGGACAAGTCTATTTTGTAGAGTAAGTATATCAAAATGTAGAATATGGACAAGTAGGACAACTGTGTTTTCTGTTGGGTAACCTTTTTTTGAGTTATGATACTGTGACAATATTAGCTGGAAAGACAAAGAAATTAGTAAGTCCAACTTCAGAATCCATATGCATATATTACAGTTGTAGCACTGTCTAAACACCCATTTGTGGTTTTCTGATTTCTTCCATGTGCACAGAAATACTAGCTTGAGTGGCAGACTGAAGTGACTTGCATATCCACATCTCAAAATGTGAGCTGACCCTCAAGCAATGTTTATGTAAACTCATTTTGTTTGTATACCTTTATGGATAAACTCCATACATATAACTTTAAAAACATATCCAGAACTTCATGGCTGATTGTTAACATCGCAGTTGTGCTTTAAACATACAAGATGATAACAAAATTGCTGCAGCTCTGACTCACTTGCAATCTGAAGCACAGAAAGAAATGAGGACAGGGATTGAGCTAACAAAGGTTTTTACAAAGGTAAGGGAGGAGGAAGTTCACAGAAGCAGAAAGAGACTTCTGGGAACATTTCCTTTTGTGTCTTTTCAATGGCAGGGTCAAAATGGGGTAGTTATCTTAAAATGACTTGGCAGAATGAAGAATATTCACAGGCCAAAATAGTAAGTGTAGGCTCTCCGTCCTACAGTTAAGGACTGAAGACTGAGAGTTGTTGCTTAGTGTCTCTTTCTGATAATTATCTGAAGAAAGTTAAAACTCAGTTTTAGAAAGATGAGCGTGACCCAGCTTGTGCCATTTGCTGAGCTGATGTGAAGCTATTTATTTTCAGTTTTTTGAGAAAAAAGTACTGAGCTACATTTCTCATTGGTGTATTGTTTCAAGGGGGTAGTGTAGGCCCCTTTTATAGAGCTCCTAAGAGAATATGATCTTCCCTAATATAATGAGATGTTTCCCTTGACAAAATTCTGTTTTCTATATCAGGAGTTCACATGAAGTTCAGAATGGCATTATGAAGTACGCGAACACAACTATTAGTGGATGCTGTCACAATAGGAAAAATGTTTGATAAAAAAAGTAGTTTGGAACATTGTAACAAAATAGGAAAAAGACTTGATTTTGAGGAATTTAAATAATCCACTGGAATTGTGCATAACAGTGGTTAAAATTTAAAAATCTAAATGCTGAGTACAAAGGGTCCAAGCAGTTGAATTTTTGTGTTCTTTTGCAGTCACATAAACAAAAGGACTACCTACCTTGACCCAAGACTGGCCTTTACAGTTGAAGATAATCCAGTAAAACCTACTACTAGACAAAAATATGATGGAAACAGTACTGCAATGGAAATACTCCAGGGTCGTGACTTGAGTGGGAAAGTGGTTATAATCACGGGAGCAAATTCAGGAATAGGTAGGTTAACATTACACATAAGGTAAAATAAAGCAATCTTTGTTTTATGGGCTACTTTGTTGTTGAAATATCTGTGTACTTTTGGTATTCAGACTTGGTTTGCATTTTTTCCATATAAAACCTCTAGTTAGAAAACTTTGTTCAGGTTTGTGTGGAGACACACCTTAAAAAAGTGTGGAGAGTTTGGAGTTTAGAGCACAGCTACATAAAGACATCAAGTTCTGACAGAATCGATTTTTGTTTGGAAAAATACTGATGGAGTATTTTACATTATGTAAGTGTACAAAGGAAGGCTGTGAAAGGGAAGGGAAGTGGCTAGGACAAGGAGTAAGGTTTTTTTATGGCTGCAGGGAAGTTCAGATGAAGTATTCAGAAAAACTTTCTAATGGCAGCAAGTAAACTTGGGTAAAGATTTTCCAAGGGGGCTGTAGAATTTCTAACTCTGAAGGTATTTTCAAGTCAACTTGATGATGAACTTGTGTCAGAATGTCATATTCAATGCTCCTTTAGGGCAAAAAAATGTGTTTATGACCTCTTGAAATCCCTGTTAGTTGTATTTTCTAGGAGGTTCATAAATCCTCTTGTTTAGGTATCTGTTACACAGTATTACTTCTATAGTGGGTGAGTATTTGAGAGATTCTAATTAGCTGCTTTTGTTTCATTTTATAATGAAGCTTTGATGCCTAGGGGCTTTCCCTTTCTTCTCAGAAGGCAGGATTTCTTCGACTTAATTTACTAGGCTGTTTGAAGTTTCACTCGGCAACCTGCACAGGATGTGTCTTTTTCTGTGGCTTAAATTTGTGGAGGCACAGGTATTAAAACACTGGTGTGGTTTGGTGTTAAATTTGAACTTTTTTGCTAAATGAGGGGATCTACCTAAATCCTAGATAGCTGTTAATCTTTTGTTCCCTTTTGTGGTTTTCATTTTTCTTCATGGTGGGATTACGTCAATATGGAAAGAGTCCTTATGCGAATTATTTGGTGTCTTTTTTTTTTAGTGCAGGATCTTGACTTAAATGCATTTTTAGGACGTTGGAAGACCTTGGAGACGTTCTGGAAAACAGGTCAATAGCAGGACTTACCACTCTGAATTCTCTTGGTCTTTACTCCTTAATTATTAAAGGAAGGGTTATCCCACAGGAGTCAGATGAAGATTTTAGAGCTTTATTGTGGCTTGCGCTTTAGGCATTAACAGCACATGTCCTGCTGTCATTCCACGATGTGCTACTACAAACTGGTATTGCAGTTAAGGCAGCAAGTGTTGTACTTATCTGTCTCAATGAGGAATTTGTGTTTTCTAGTAAGGTTTACATTCCAGTTTCTTGGTACAGCATGTCTTTACATTGCATCCAGCAGTAAAATTTGCTTTGTATGCAACCGTGCAGCCTCAGAACATTTAAGAATTACCTGGACTCAAATGATTTGCCTTCGGCACGAGAAGAGCTACCATTCAGACTTGCTGAATGAGCTGAAAGTGTTTCATATATGGCAAAAGATTAATCCAAGGAGTATGGTGCTTTTGTCAAGATTTTTTTTCCCCTGTTTCTCCTTCAGTTTATAATCTGGATTGATCACATGTAAGCAAGCATATCCTTGCACCAGATCTCCTTTGCTGGAGACATACATGTACAGATATATATACGCATACACATATATACTTTATTGATTTTTATTAGTAGGTGGGGACAGGATATCACCCCTGGTCAGAAGCATACCAAGAAGAGTGGGAGCATTAGTGAAATAAGCCTTGAGTTTGTGCTGCTATATGAGGTTAGGACATAAAGAGTCCAAAACTATGAAGGTGATGTAGCAAATACGTGATTAAGGTGGCATTATGGCCTATATAACTCAAAACTCTTGCATACCATGTTGCATTTAATATTGCTATAGTCCTGGGCTATGTGTCTGATACTACTTATCAGTTGCCATGGAGCATGGATTGAGGAGCAAGCAGTTATAGGGTTTACGCTCCTTATGTAATTTAGGTTCTTTTTTCCTAGTTCTAAGGGCTTCTGAGAGAGGGTATAATCTGCTGGTTATGACTTTTGATTGACCTGTTTGATGGAGAAAGGCAAGATTCAAACTTCTTGGTGTTGTGTGAAGGGATCAGTCCCCCCTTGGCATTGACTAATAGTGTTCTTGTTCAATTAATTTGGACATAACTGGCAGAATTTGAAGTTTTCTTGAAACTGTGTTGTCTGAGTCTTTAAACTGTATCACTCTTAGCTTAACTCTAAACCATGCTTTGTGACTCTTGGCAAACTGCTTTGAATGTGTCAGTGTCATGTAATGGATTGCAGTATAGAGGTCCCTGTGAGCTTTAATATGTCTGCACAATTCTTCGGGATGCTGTGTGGAAATACTAATTAGCTAGCTCGAGTAGAGTCTTACCAGTTTTGGAGCTTATTCCCCAGTTATTTTAGGATTTCAGTGCTGTGCTCCACTTTGTGTTGTACATACTTCTTTTAAACTCCCTGTGTATTTTGGAGCTAATGTTGCACTCCCTGGGTATTTTGAGGAGTAAACAATTACTGTGATTTCAGAACACTGACATGCTTTCTTTAAGAGGAAAGTGTAAATATTTCCAAGGAAATACTGCTGTCCATTAAGTAGAAAGTGATTGAAAAAGAATATATTACTTGTTGAGCGTTTGTACTTAATAATGTAAGAAAAAAAAATAATCACTCAACCCTTTCATTCTTGTCATAATTAGTTTCAGCGGTATATTTGAAACTAACTTTATGGTATCTGTACATTTGTTGAGAAATTTTTCATTTCAAGATGGGTAGAACAAAGATCAAGGTATAAGTTGGTAGACTCTAGTCTATCACAATGCAGAAAAATGCATATTCAATTACTGCATTGATGGATGCTCAAGATAAAGTTTGGAAAATGCTTAGAATCCCTTGAAAGAGGGATGAACATAGAAGTTATTTTTTATTCATCCATATACACAGCTTTAAGATAGCAAAGTTAAAAGCAGATCAACAAAGATGGAATGATAGATTAATTCACCGTATTTGTGAATATAATACAAGTAATTCAATGTAGCTTGCCAGGGACATTTATTTTTTTTTTCTTATAGTTGAAAAATCTCCTCAACTTCTGAACAATACAGATAAAAAACAGAGAAAAAACAACAAAAACAAAACCACAAAAAAATACAGAGACTGCTTGCCCTGTGATGGTTCTTTTCATTACTGGTTAGGAATATGGACTGTAAGCATTTCCTAGATTACATATCCACTTTTTTAATTTAGTCTTTAAAATTGCTGCAAAAAGTGTGTGTGTGTGTGGAAAAAAGTACTAAAATAATTAGATTTATAAATACTTCATTAGTTTTCATTAGCAACCTGGAAAAGGTTGATGAATTATTCTGTGCTTACCATATAAAAAGATCATAGCAGATCAAGAGTTACTAGAAAAATGTTTTCTTCTTTTTTTTTTTTTATTTTGGAAGCTTATTCTTCTGACAGTGCAGTCCAGCTATTCTTCGTATTTTTTTCTCATCTATTTTTTAAGCTCAATCAAAATTTTAGTGCGAGTATCACGTTAGAAGTTGAGGTAACTTTTGGTCACAGTAAAGTTGGTGTAGTAAAACCAAGTAAGACTTGACTTACTGAACAGTTTACTCATGTTGTGTCAATCCTGGTTTTAAAAACTTATATGTAAATTTAAACATGAGCAGTCTAAAATGTCAGTTTGTTCTCTTAAAGTCAGTAAGACTTACTCCACTGTGAGGAATTGAAGATAGCATGCAATTTTGTGTGTGTGTTGTTTTTCTGTTTTAAAGGTCTCAACATGAGTTAGGTTACAGAGAAAATACTTCCCTGGTGTGCTGCTTGTATGATAAAGTCAGGCTTCCTAAGTTTTTCACTAGGGGGCTGTGTTGCTCTTTGAAAATAGGAAACAAAAGAGAACTGGTGCTTTTCCCTGTTTTTAGTAAATGCTCCTGTAATTTTGTTGTTTGTGTTCTTAATTATTAGGGCTAGAATTCTAAATTTTAAAAAGCATGCTGTTCGTCTAGGTTTAATTTTATAAAGAGATGTGGTACTTTCAACTCTGTGTAAGCAATCTCCTCAAATCAAACAAATTAAAAAAAAATTACTTGGTTTTAATATCAGGGAGGGAGTTGTGTAGCTAATGTGACTTTCTATGACTTGTATAAATATTGCTATCTGTTTTTAAGATTCCTATAGCTATATGACCTTGAAACTACCATGTATTCCGTTTTCTGTATTGGGTGCAGTTGCATCTAACCTATTGTGACTGCTAGAGTATGCATGAGTAGTGAAATGTTAGTAGTATTGCAGTATATTATGGAAGGGCAAAATGTGTGTGTTCTGTGCAGTCAGGCAGATTCCACAAAGTAGGATTTTTTTCTTATGCTTTTCCAAGATTTTATCACAAAACTGTATTGATAATGATAACCAAACCATTGCTCAAACTGCCATTCTAATTTTTCTGATATATGGAGGTCAAAAGAAACCTGTTAATTGCTTTTGTAAGGGATGCCCAGAACAATCAACTTAATTTTTTTCAAATACCGAAGAAAATCCAGAAGCTTCAGCTGTAATGTGGCTTGCTATATTACTTTTCTTGATTATGTTTTACCAGAGTAGAGCATGCAATTTTATAATTGCAGAAATGTTTTAGATTATTTCTTCAAAATAATTGTTGGTTAATGTTTGGTTAAATGGAATTATCTTTTTTTCCTGGCACTTTTATTCCTATGCAATGAAGAGACCTTAGCCAGGAGAAGAGTTGTATATGAGGTGCTATTAATCAGTACGTAAAAGACGAGTCACTGCTCCAGTGAGCTTTTGGTCTGCATATACTTATGGTGTGAGAAGTTACTGTAGTTCTTTTATATCGTGTACAGAACTTCAGTATTAGCAACTTTTGTCATACTGATGCAAAAGGCTGGGAAATGTGCTTATAATTTATCACAATTAAATATCTGCTTTATGATTTAAAAAGTTGTTTTGAATAACTGGTAC